TCCTAACCTGCATGCTCCAAATTGTTCCCTGCATGCCAATACTATGAGCAGTACTCAATATTGTGAGTGCCCTCTCCCCTGGCTGCCGGGCTGAGCAGTGGACATTGCTGTTTTGCATGGCCAAAGCAATGAAGTCAAACCTATCAGCTAAGAATCCACAAGATCCAGATCCTCAGTCTGTAGACAAAGCTACTGCCTCTGCAGCAGTAGGCATCATGACACGCTTTGAACTTCTGATGCCACGGATAACGACAACAGCAAGCATGCTAATTGTCACCAAGTGGGAAAGGGATCATTCGGATCCAAACTGACTGTCCTCTCTGGTTACCAAGGAACAGCTGAGAGGCACAACTGAGATGCCCTCCTGGAAAGGAATTTAAAGAGACACACACACTGAAGGGTGTTTCTCAGAAAGGTACCATACTGACTTAGCCCTTGCCCCACTTGCAAACTAAGGGTGTTTATACACAGGCTCTGGGAGTGGGGGCGGGAGGGGAGCGCTTTAATTAGAGCAGCTCGGACAGCCACTCTAATTAAAGCGCCTGGAGTGTCTCATGTAACAGCGTCCCCATGCTTAAATATGGCAGTGGGGGCACTTTAACTAAAGCCAGTTTGATGTGCTTTAGTTAAAGTATCCCCACCACCATTTTTAAGTTTGGGGACACTGATACACGAGGCGCTGGAGTCTGCTGGAACATGGTAATTACCATGCTCCAGCAGACTCACTTAATCAAGCCTGTTCCAACACGCTGTAATTACAATGCATTGGAGCAGACCTGCTGCTCATGTGTAGGCACCTAAAACTTTGGGGGAACTAATTCCATCACAGCAACACCTGAGAAAGCAGAATTATTTGCTAAGACTCAATGGGCAGAATTCTGTCTCACCTGGTCAACAATCAAAGTGCAGCATGCCACCAACTGAGTTCCCCAGCTCAGGGTTTGGCTAACAATGTGGACAGAGTATGGCCAACAATAGGCAGTCTCCCCCTGAGGCCCTGCTTTGTCTGTAAAAGCTGAGAAAATGGACCCTTCCTTCCTGCCAGACCCCTAAGGGAGGGGTGTGGGGAGTGTTGAAAGGACAGTGAGCCATATGTTACGCTCAGGATCAGCACTTTGCCTACCAAAATGGACAGATCCAGCCCTGCTTTGCTTATACAGTGATAGATGCATATACACACATGGTTATGGCCTGTCTCTGTGGCCCTGCCCCCTTGAGATGGGCTCTTGTCATAAGCATGAGTATCAGGATCCATTCATATGCAGCTGAGAGATCAACCTAGCAACCGGTCTGTCATCCAGTCAGTGTCCCTCCCTCATCAGTGCTGCATGGACCCCCCAGCATGGTGCAGAGGCCCTAACAGGCCTGCTGCCTTTTGGATGTGACATAAAATGGAGGCCGTGATCACTTCCATGCAGAGTTTGCAAGTATTTCCAAGGCCTCCAGCATCACACTCTCTCAACAGCACTTATCATTAATGAGCATGTGACACTTTTTCCAAGAATACCGGTACTGGTGTAATGTCCAAATTCTGGTGTCAGGTCCAGGTCTCCTGGGTTCTATGCCAAGATGTCTTCTCCTGACTCCATTTTTTGCCTTGGCACGTGTTAACTATATGTCTGTGCTACAAGGCCATTGTGAGACTTCTCACATTGGTATCTCCAAAGCACTTTGTGGTCCTCACTAGAAGGCCCCAAGGAAGGTCTGTGTATTCTGAGGTGATTCTACAATGCTTGGCGGAAGTGTGGAGAGTGTCTTTTATAAGTAAAATCCCTGCTATGTGCTGTAAAACCTCCTGAAGTCCCCTGCTAATATGCTCTGGGGGAAGTGCCTTCATGAGCCTAGTCTGATCTTATGCTCCAGTAGGAAGATCTCAGCCAATTCAGGCTGCTGCTAGTTAAGTCCATGTTGTGTAGCTGGGTTTTGAAAACCTCCAAGGATGGAGCTTCCACCACCTCTCTAGGTAACCTGTTCCAGTGTTTTACTAAACTCCCATTCTGATTACAATGACATACAGAGCCCTTCAGCTTGTGCCTTATGTTGTTGTATTTTAAGTGGGTGCAGTATTCTTTGCTTCCTGTCCTAAATTAACCTAAAGTATTGCCATGTAGCATTAACAGCTGTCATTGCCCTTTCAGAGGTAGCTACATTTCAGCAATCAGTAAAACAATTCTTACCAAGCCCTTTTGAGAACTGTAAGGCACTATAGTTATCAGAGCTCTCCTGTGGGTTGGGTGACCACAGAACCACTATTAAAATATCCCCTTGTCATACCTAAGAATTGCCTTTAACAAATCACATCCCAGATTAGAACCATCAGCTGTTCATTGCATTTTAGGCCCCTTGCATACCCCAGGGGAAGGGAGCTACTCTGGATTTACTCCTGTGGGGGAAGAGAATTGGGGACTTTGCTTTTTGAAATACACTGATTACTAATTGCAGGAGACAGGCCTGTCTGGAACTAATAACATCAATATCCAAAACCAAGAGAGGCCCACAGAGGAAACTGGATCTGAATTTTACAATATTGTTTACCAAGTGCTGGTGCTATGCCAAATTTGCAAGGAACTGGAATTTTGGGGATAACGTTTGGTTCACTGTTCCCTTGAGGCCAGAGCAAGATCTGTCTGTTCTTACTCCAAGTTAAGAAACATTTGGGTCTGGGGTTTTGGCCCAGCTCATCTTTAACAAATAACATAAACAGACTACTAACTCTACAGCAGTTGTAGAGGGATTTCAAATTCCATGGCACATCACAGATATGAAGGAACTGGAACCTGTACAACACAGGTTAAATACCAAGGTGTCTGGTGGTTGAGCTGACTTTGAAAGAAGCCTAACCTCTAAACTGGCACCAGGTCCCATAATTTTCCAGCCACTCTTCCTGCCTCCTCATCCTAATAATTTCAGAGATATGGCAAATATTTACAACAAACTAGGAAATTCTTGAACATTTGGGGTGTGCTGCAAACCGTACAAGTCTGGCCATCTTCCAAGTCCTGGTATAGCAGATGTGGACTCATCCAAGTCTCTGAGAATTTGTGGCTTTGCTTTGAGATTCAAGGGTTTGCTTGAACCTAAAATTCAGTAAGACTCAGACGGTTCAAAATCATGTGGTTCAAAACCTGTCTTAAATTGTTACTGGACAACAGGTCTCTGATGTTCTATGTGAAATCAGTTCAAAGATTCTCAGTCTAGTTACCAGTGGAGAAGAATCCAGGCCACAAAAGCCAGTTAGTGCCAACGGGTACTTTCAGCCAGGGACTGACTTGACCATGAAGAGGACTAACCTCCTCTCCATCACGAGAAATGGCCCTTTTGAATCATAGCTGGGGATGGTGGGCAGAACAACATAGGAGAAATTTGCACTGAGTTGGTGGATGAATATATGACTGTGGTCTTCAGGGCTTCCAGTCTCTCACTTTTCACTGGCACTGCATTCACTGTGCACATTTGCACAAAAGAACATTCAGTCTGCTCTAGCCCTGAGTTGTCTCTGGCAGAGGATGCCTCACAGAGGTTACCATGCTAATAAAACTGACATCAGTGTTTCTTTATCACCCAGGAAATGGGCTCAAACCTTTGAAACTCTCCTATATACGGTATCCACATGCTTTGGCTTCTCGCTGGAAGAGTCAGATCATTGTACATGAGACCAGCCAAGATGGCAGCCCCTTGGGAATCCACAGTGGAATCACTGACACACTATTAGCTCTCATGAGAAATCCTCTGAGCAAGGCCAAGCTCTGTCTAGTGCAGTTTGTGTGGGTTACAGATCAGGAGCATGGAAGAGAGGAGGGGTGAATTGAGGAGAGGGGAGGATTTTACTATCATCTGATCAGTATATTCCAGCTTAATTCACATAGCAAAACATTACAGAGCAGACACCAAGGGCCTGAAAAAAACATTGACACATAGGCAGGAGGGTCCTCCTCATCTGTGATGCAGATGTGTTAATAGTTTTACAGGGATCCCAGTAGGGTGAAACAGGATCACATTTGGAGGCTCAGATGGCAAACAGGAGTTGCAACAGGATCTGCCCCCAGCCCTTTTTGGGGATCCACAACATAGCTTCAGCACTCACATATTTCACTGGGACCCTGTCTGGAATGAATCTGGGCCTGGAGACATACAGCCTGACAGGCTGTTGTTCTGTCAAACACTTGGTCTGGCTACAGGGTCACCAGACAGGTGGAAGAATGAGGTGGCCTGAGGTACTGAACTGCATTACCAAGCCACAGAGTTCAGACCTTGAAAAAGACTTTCCCCGAGTTCCTGGTTAATTTAGATGTGGACTTTAGGATTTGCTGGAGCACAGAGAAATCTCCAGCCACCTCTCCATTTCTCTCTCTCTTTATTGGAGTAAAAAGCTATACTACCCGGCACTCATCCATGAATCTTTTCTGATTACCACTAATGCTTGGAACCAGGTGAAACCCATTCCAACTTCATCTCCTGTATCAGCAGATTCTACATCCAGCTGTCCAAGGCTGGCAGGCTCCTGGAGGTACCTGGCTTAGCCCAGTTGCTGCTGGATCAGCTACTGCATCTGATGGAACAGCTGTTGCCCACAGCCCTAGTTCAATCCTCAACTGGGCTAATGAACATGGCGCAAACTCAGCAAGTTTGGCTAACAGGGGAGAGGCTCTGCTATGTGGGCAAGGCCCTAAGTGTCTGGACACCTGCTGTGGAAGACAGCTCAGCTACATCAAACAAGGCCATCACCTGGGCTGTGCCCAGGACAGCCAGCAGCATTAAGATAATTGATTCCAGAACCAGAAGAATTTCAGTGCTGCCTTATGTAGATATTTTTGTGGGCAATGTTCCTCTAATGCTGTTATGGGGACAGCATTTGACCAAAATATTAGAACCCAGAGCCCATCGGCTTTCAGAATCTGATGCTGCTAACCCATCTCCCTGTGCCAAGAGAATACCATTTTCCACTCCTCCCCACCACCCCAGTGCCCCCCTCTCCCACATGTATGCCCCACAGAACTCACTGCTGTTGTTGGGAAGTGTCCTGCTGCCACTGATGCTGCTGGCTGGAGGTGGCGAGATGGAGCGCACAGAGGCTGTGTCTTCTTCCTGGGAGCAGCCAGCCTGGATGGCACGGAGGTAGCTATGGCTCCGGGAGCGGAAGTAGCTGGGCAGTGGCAGGTCCAGCACCTCCACAGCAGCTGACTCAGCTTCACTGTAGTTTGAGTCACACACTGCCTCATACTGGTCACTCAGCTCTGCCTCCCTTGTCTGCAGGGAAGAGAGAGGACCCAGAAATTACCCTTCTTTTCAGGGCCTGTTTTCTCCTTCTCTCTGCTGTGTACATGGCTTTTTCATGGCAGTGTTCATCAGGCTGCTGAGTTTATAAATAGGTTTTCTTTATCTGTAAGCAAGCACTTCAAGGTGTAGCGGTCAGAGCTGGCAGGGGCCAGGTCTCCTGGGTTCTATGCCAAGATGTCTTCTCCTGACTCCATTTTTTGTTTTGGAACTTGTCAACTATATGTCTGTGCTACAAGGCCATTGTGAGACTTCTTACACTGGTATCTCCAAAGCACTTTGTGACCCTTACTAGAAGGCCCCAAGGAAGGTCTATGTATTCTGAGGTGTTCTACAATGCCTTGGCAGAAGTGTGGAGAGTGTCTCTTATAAGTAAAATCCCTTCTCTGTGCTGTAAAACCTCCTGAGGTCCCCTGCCAATGTGCTCTGGGGGAAGTGCCTGCATGAACCTAGTCTGATCTTATGTCCCAGTAGGAAGAACGTATCCAGTTCAGGCCACTGCTAGTTAAATCCATGCTGGTTTTGTAGACTGTGGGGACCAGGCAGTGTGACACCTCAGAAGGCTGCTGCATCCTCTGTCTCCCATACCACCTGTCCAACCCTAGGCTTTCCTAGAGGCAGATGATCCTGTTAGCTGTTGACCTAGGAGAGGTTCATATTAAAAGAGGTGACCTAAAATTAATACACACACCAAATATATGAATAAATTATCAGTAAACAAAGTGTGCTAAGCCAACTGCCCCAATAATACATCTCTTATCTAATCCGACTTCCTGTAATTGACCTGTGCTTCCAGCTGTCTGTCTTCTCTCACCCTTTTCCACCTGATACCTGTCTTGTAGGGCAGAAGTTATTCAAAATGACCAACAACCTTCCCTGATCAACAAGGGTCTGAGTCAGTCATTGCTGAAGCCTCACTGATTTCAGTGGCATCTGGATATGAGAGGTTCATTAATTCTTCCCAGAGACTGGCACTTGCTAACCAAACACCCACAAAGGGCTGGTCCCACTAAAGCCACCGTAATAGTCTTTGCAGAAAGTTGTTTGCGTCTTGACCTTTCCCTCCCACTCTTCCCAGCATGTACTGCTCCAACAGGACATGCTCCTGAGGCAGTTTGTCACAATGTGCTATATCCTGAAACACATGGCCCTGACTGTTCAAGGGGGAGACATCCACAGAGGGCAACAGGACAAATATCTATAGGGTCCAATAGGAAATGTCAGATGGACGGTACCTGCTCTCCGTGTGTAAATATCTGAGGGATAAATGAGGGTTGTCCAAATATCTGGAAGAAAGAGTTGGAGAAGGTTAAAGCAGAGAAGTGGGGACCTGTTACACACACAGGCATTTCACAGGGACCGCAGACAACGGGGAACAGACAGACGTTTCCCCTAGAACTCCTGTTGCCTCCCACTCCTCTTGCACTTTTTTGGAGATCTTTTGAAGCATAAGAGGAGGACCTCTGTTCCTCTTGCAGGCTATTAAGATGGTTGTACAAATACAACAAGACAAACCGCCATGGGATCCTTCCAGGCCACGAAGAAACCACTGGACACATTTAGTGTAGTGTGGTGACAAATGCAAAGGCCTGAAGCCCAAGAGCCCAAAGACAAGCATGGATTCAAATGAATGGGAGAGAATCCCAAGACATCCTACAGTGGCTTTTCAGGCTATTCTGGAACTCTCAGAGCAATGGAGTACGGACACAACAACTCCCTCTTCTAACTGCAACACACAAATGAAGTCTCAAGCCAGGACATGGCTTGCTTCTACTATCTGAAGGCTCTGCAGGATCCAAAGCAGCAATATGATAAGTAGAAATGCCATGTCCATGAGAACTGCATCAACACTGAGACTTCTCAGTCACTTACCACTCATGGTGCTACCATCAGCACAGCTCCTTCATGGGAGCAATGAGGGGAGCACTCATGGTGATGGGAAAGGAAGCATTATCTGAACGTCATATGACTGCTCAGAGTGAGTTGAGACAGCAGGGTGACAAACTCCTCAGAATTTGGTCTCTTCTGCTCCATCATTGGAACAGTGCAAGGGGAGGTGATACTACATAGTGGTAATACTCCCCTGACTCAAAAGCAGAACCAGGATATAAACAACTTGCCACAAAATTAAACAGAATTTGCTTCATGTTAAAAAGATACTCTGAAGTCTGCTGGAGCGAATGTTACAAAGACACAGCAAGCTGGATCCTTCTATTCTGTTCTACCATTCCCAACACTTGAGTTTGCAGAGAACATTTACATCACCAGGTCTACACTGCTGGAGATTGGCGCAGGATGCAACACTGGAAGGATCTGGATCTAAGATCTGCCTTAAGATCAGAGGGTTTACAGCTAGGGTTCAGTCTGCCCATCACACATAGGGCTTCTCTGTAAAACCTGAATGTTCTATATTTGAAAATGACATCTAGCTCCTAACTTGGCAGCTGATACTCTTTGCAACAGAGGGCTGAAAGAGACACCAAACTGAAGAATGCCAGGCTTCAGGGGAGTTTGGGTGTAGAGACAAGTCTGCATAAAACTTTTCGTCTTGGACTAGGAGCCAGCCTTGTAAATCAATGTGACATGAGAGACACTGACATGGAAAGACATTATTGTCTACTTCACTGGATGGACTTATGAATGATGCTTTGGGAAACTCCTGGAAATGCCAAAAGTAAGGGAGAAAATTTGAGCCTTGCTTCTGGATGACACAAAAGGAGATGGAACAAACAGCCTCACAACCTGGTACTGAATGAGATGAGGAAGGAGACACAAGAAGGATATGTAAGGGCAAGTCCTGAATGAATGGCAGTGCAGCTGCTTGGGGTGCATGTCAATGCTCTACAGAACATCTTTGCTGCTGCCCAATACCGTGGCTTGGAGGGATGACGCCAGCCCTTGTTTAAGCAGCTCCAGCAAGGCAACAGAGTTACTCTAAGACAGAATTTGATGAACCAGATGCTGAGTGTGTTCCCCATAGTTACACTGGTGTTCTTTAAGTTACTGAAATGGAAGTGAGTGCTGCATGCTGGGATCCCACAGTCCACCTCAGCTATTAGAAGGGGGGTTGCACAGACTTATCATCTGAATCCCAGTGAAGTTCATGGAGGGACTCTTGTAACAGTCTGACACTTTAGGCAGTAACTTTGGTTAAGACAAAAGAGCAATACATTAGGTTGCTTTCTCTAGAGATCTGGATCCAGACACAAATTAGTGTACATATGAAATGGATGTGATGGTACTACTTGTCTGCATAGTTAAACACCCAACACATTGTTGGGATACTGACAGAACAAGAATTTTTATTAGCAATATGTGATCCTCAAGGGAGAATACTGTGTATTCATGTATGGACGATCTCAAAGTGCTCTACAAAACTAAGCAATTTATCCCATTTCACAGATGGAGAAACTGAGGCACAGGAAAGAAGAGGGTCGAGGTGGACATGAACTGAAAGCCAAACTCCCAAAAACTTTGCCTGTGGATTGGGACTGTAGCGTGTGGGCCTATCTTACTCTCCGTTGCCCATCTGGTGGGTGAGAACAATACTTTGGTTGCTGGGTGTCTAGCCTACCTCTAACCCTAATACTGTACTGCTCTTGTCCAGCACATGCTTTGGCAATAATGGCAGTCTGTGAGCAGGAGAGCCTCAGGTACAGAATGATGCGTGTGCATACGTGTGTGCTTATGTGCAGACAGAAAGACTTGATCTGCTATTACAATAGACAGAGGTCTGTCGTGACAGTGTAAAACAGCTAGGAAACTGTTAAGGCAGTGGGCTAACTAGTGGAAAAAATTTGGGAACTGGTACTAGGCTTGCAACACCGCTTCTGCAGAGCCCCACTGCAACTGAATAGCATGATCCCGCCTATAGGTGTCAAAACCCCTAGTTTGAAAAGCAATGGGTCAAGAGATATCTGCTTGTCACATGCCTCAAAAGGGAGATGTGGGGGAAATGTGTTTCCTTCTTCTGGGCATTGAGATATATCAGTTTTGCCCTCAAAAGGGCCTGACCTGGACTGAGGTCAGGCTCTTTCCAAAGGTTCACCCTTTCTACTGCTTATTTCCAGATGTTCGTTCCTGGACTCTATGCAAAGTTGCTCCTGGTCCACCTGGGCAGAGGGGGTAGGAGAATAATCACCTCCCCCAGGAGCTGCCTGCTGCCAGGGCCGGCTCTGATTGTGCAGCCCAGGTGAGGACAATGTTCCACTGCCCCTGGCAGCAGGCAGCTCTGATCATAGAGCTGGGGCTAGGACATTGCTCCTTGCCCTTGGCAGCAGGCAGCTCCCAGGCCCAGTTCCAATCTTGGAGCCAGGGCCAGGATCTGCCTGCTGCTAGGGGCAGGGAGCAATGTCTCAGCCAAGAGCTGCCTGCTGTGTGTGTGTGTGTGGGGAGGAGGAGGAGGAGGAGGGGACAGGGGCAGAGAACATTATCCCAGCCCAGCTCCCTGATCAGAGTGGGGGTTGGGCAGGAGGCAGCTGCCTGGGGTAGGCATATGGGGTGGGAGGCAGTGTGCTTGGAGTTGGAACAGCTCCCCCTCCCCCAGGCCTGACACTGGTGCCCCCTGTCAGCCCCTGGCTGGCACCTAGAGGAATCTAGAGCTCCCCCTGGCTGCCATATAGTAACAGAGCAGGGCTGGAATATCTCTGCCCCGAATTCCTCCTGTTGGACAGACACATGTGTAGATGTGCACTGTAAAGTATTTTTCTGTGCAGTAAGCTTTCTGAGCATTAATTGCATGTGAAGATGTGCCCACAGGGTTATTCAGGAACGGCTATTGTACTTTAAGTTAGCATCTTACCTTAACTTCCATTACCTTTCAGATACAGAGGAGCACTTTAAAGTGACACAGAATATCCACATGCAGAGATGAACTAGGTTAAAGCTTTTGGGGAAAAGTTATCTTGTAAGGTCTTTACTGCATGATGAAATTAGTGTGAAGGAAGTTAGGGCGTGAATAAGTACCAATTCTAAAGCTAGCTACTCTGCACTAAATTCCTCATATGGGCACTCTACTTTGAATATGAAATAAACTGCTTTGCAAGGAATGTTCATTATTTAGTAGGAAATGAGTTCACACTCTAGCTTTTTGCAGACCACCTTCCCCATGTAAACATGCTTTTAGCCAAATTGGTGTAACATTGCTTCTAGATAACCCAAAGATGGCAGGGAAGAAATGTGGATGTCAAAGACCAGACCAGCAGGAAGTTTGCACTTCATTATTCATGTCCACCTGCGGGGCTGCTTTAGGGCCTCAGACAGAGATGCCAGTGGGTATTCAAAGTCTGAATTCAGTGACATTTGCAGGGCTCTGTGGAGGCTCAGGACTGGGATAAGAGGGCCACCTGCCAGGATCTAAGTACAATAGTTGAGCTATTTGGGGGACCCATGGTTGGACTAACAAGGGCTTTACATACCTGATTTCAAGTGCACTGATAAAATTGGGAGAGAGCAGCTTGCCTATCTGCTGAACAGCCAGTCTGATTCCACGTTTTGTTGGGCAAAGGAAAAGCCTCTTTGCTTATTACCTCCTTGCATCTACCAATTCCTGTCCTCCTCTGCAAACACCCCACCTATATCTGAACAGCCCAGGGGAGGGAGGCCCTGGCTGGAAGCTTCTCCTGACTTATCTCACCTGGTTGATGCAGCTGGACTCATTGATGTTGTCAGTGATCTGGTTGTATTCTTCCTCCCAGCTTGGGAACTTTGGAGGTAAGAGGATCTCAACAGAGTCCAGGCGATCCAGGCTCCTGCAGGAGAAACAGAGAGAGGCACTGAGGTGATGTTCCATCTTAGCATAACAGAGGAAAGCAGTAGTTAGGGGTCTTGATGCTATTCACACACTGCTACAAATATAGCAGTGTGAAAAATAGCTCATTTGCCCTCCCACTGCCCAGCCTAATCATCCAAGCCTTTCAGCCTCAGGAGGGGCAGGGAATCAGACAGAAGCTGTCCTCTGGCACCTTCTGCTAGGCACATTTATGCACTACAGCTTGGCTCTAAGAATTCAAGGCTCTGGCCAGATGTTCAGTTCCCTGAGGATAGGAATAGAAGGTAGCACCTTGCCTTGCTTTTGCCTGAGGATAAGGCTTGGAGCAGCTTTACTGAGTTCTGGTGGACGGGCTCGCATGTGGCACAGTGAGGCCTTTTGGAGCTGGGAAAGGAGAGGGGAGGTGGGAAGATGGATTTCTGTGGATCTCTCTGTCCGTAATTAAAACAAATGCACAAATTAATAATGCAGGCTCTGAGTGCACTGGATCCCTCCCCCTCTCTGTTTTACAACATTAACTGTATCAAACACGAAGGCAGTGTGATCTGACAAAGAGGGAAGAGGACCAAGACCAGGAAACCTGGGTTCATGCCAAACTCTGTTACAGACTCGCTGTTGGACCCAGAGCAACTCCCTTGCCATCTCTGGACCTCTTTTCCTCCTGTACATGGGAAAAAAGGCAGCGTTTGTGGAAAATGGCTTTTTCAATGACTTGTTGAAAAACTAAGAACCCAATTCCCTAAGCTTTCCAACTTGAAGGATCTTCAGAATATAAAAATCTGGAAGAAGGATGGGGATAAAAATCGCTGGATTTGCTTACACCTTTGCCTTCTTGACTAGCTCTGCCTGCAAACTCTCCTGGCCATGGCAGTCCATCATGCTGTAGGTACAGCTCTAAATACAACAAGGCTGAAACCTCAGCTAAAGCTTTGCAGGGAAGTTGCAATACTAAGCATGGAATGGGGCCTAACAGGAATCTTTCCTGCACTCTTGTTTGCCAACTCCAAGCACACTGGGTGTAAACCCACAACACATTTATAGGGATGTAATTTGCCTTAACAGGTGCACATATGGAGTGGACACAAAGCATACAGTTTGATGCTGTTGTAAATCATTCTACCCAGGGTAAATTTACTTTTCAAAAAGTCATGGTACATGTGAGTTACACTGGGTTACAGGTCATGTCTCTACAACTCAGCCCATTTCTCTTAGGGGCAGCTGCTTTTTTAGAGAAAAGCATCTATTTCTGGCTCCTCACCACCTTGTGGTGAGGCACTGTAATAACACTGACAGTAGGTAGCTACCACTGGTCATCTGTCCACTCTGAACAGCATTCAGAGGCTACTGACAGATGTTCAGTGAAAGACATGATGGGAGCTGATCTGTGATCCCAACCACTGTGCCTCCTGTCATGCCACATAGCCCTGGAGCCAGCTGACAATCAGCTGATTGTCAACAGCACCAGGACTGCACTGGGGCTTGAACACTGATGAGGTCCTGATGCTGCTGACAATCAGTTGGTAATGCAGTTCCTACCAGCTGCTGATGAGCTGAATGGCAGTTGGCTCCAGGACTGCACCAGGCCTTGAACCCCGGTGTGGTTCCACTGCTGCCACCGATCAGCTGATTGTCAGCTGCCAAGGACCACACCAGGGCCTATCTGAATGCTGGTACAGTCTACCCGACCACCTGTCCACCTGCGATGGAAACCAGCCATAAAACTATTACATATTTTTGTTTAATAATTTTGTGTCTGGTTTCATGTTTTGTCATTGTAATTAATTGCATAAATATGTGGCTAAATTACACTTCAAGATGCAATTAACTGGATAATTGTGTCTTAAGTGTAACGTTTGCCAGGGGCCTTCTATCAATGCCCAAACGGACACAAATTCTGAGTATAAATTCATCATGTCTGCACCACTTGTTTATCACTGCTTCTTTATTATAGTCTTTCATTTTTTGCCCTGGCTGGGAGCCAGGGCTCAAATCTAAGCCAGGTTGAATGAGAGCTTAGACACTGGTTAGTGTTTTTGTACATGAAACAGCATCCTTTTGCTTTGAGGGAATTGGGGAATGGATGTTACTCACACACTGACCTGACTACATGCTTATACTATTTCTGCAGCATCTGGATATGCAGGGTTGCTGATGTGACTTTATTGTGAGCTGCACAATATTTGCTGCTTTTCTTAAAGTCCCAGAGGCTGAAATCAGAATCTCAGTTCATACATAATAAAGACAAGGTTCTAGCCTTCACGGTTACAAAATAAAGCTTTAAAACATGGACCCAAAATACTCTAACACCAAAAAGTAATGAAGCAGAAGCCCAAAGGTGTTAATGTTAAAGTCTCCTGATATTTTGGGTCTGCCTCAGAACTTGGCAATGCTTGAACTTGGCCATACTGGATGCTCCTTGACTAATCGCCAGGAATTCACCCTTCCTGGGGTGAATTCCTAATGTTTCACCCTTCTACCCTTCCTGGTAGAAGACCTGAAGCAAGGATGGAGCTGTCATGAAATAAGCCAGAGCAAACCTCATTCCTAAATGTGGCAACATTTGGGAGCAAGGGGGAAGAAGCTTTTCAGGAGCTGGCAGGTGGGGTGAATTATTTATATGGGAGACCAGGAAACCACCTGAGACGCAGAAGCAGCAGCCCCTCTGTCCCTGCCACAGGTGTTCTAGGCCATGTTACAAATATGCCCAGCAGATCACAAACAGTCCATGACACAAACCAGCATGCTAGGCTGCATGACAGACATGCTAGGTGACATTACAGGCATGGTAGGCTGTGTCACAGATATGCAAGATGGCACCAGGCATGTGCTGAACCATATTACAGACATGCTAGACTGCCCCACAGGTATGCCAGGCTTCATGATAGATGTGTTAGGTGTGTCACAGACATGGTATGCCACGTCACAGACACAGGAGGCTGCATTAAAGATGCACTAGGCTGTATCAGAAGTGTCAGGCATATTACATACATTTATAATATGTTGTAGAAGTGTGAGACTGTGTCAGTGATACACTAGACCAGGGGTGGGCAATTATTTGCACTGGCAGGCCACTTAGGGAGTTTTGGTGAGCTGTTGCAGGCCAGGTTGACACCTGTTCCTTTCCCGCCCCCACCCCCGGCCCACAACAGGTCACTAAAACTCCCTAAGTGGCTCTGTCCTGGGGCCCAGCCCTGCACTGCCACAGCTTGGTGATCCCAGAGTCTTCATGGAGGCTCACGGCCCACGCAGGAAGGCCACACTTGGCTGGGTAGATGGGATGGGACTATGGGAGGACAGGGAGTGGAATCCAGGAGTGGGATGGGAGGGTGGGCAGCCGGGTGAGAGGGGCTGGGATTGGGATTGTGGGGTAATGACAGTGTGGGGCTGGGGCCTGGAGCAGAGCTGCAATCCACTTTCTGCATGGCCCTGCCCGCAGAACCTGCACTTGTTGCACGGGCGTGCAGGCAGCGGATCATAGTTCTACCCCGGACCTTGGCCCAGCATTAACACTGTCCCATGATCCCAAGCCCAGCCCTGGCCCTGGCCCCGGCCCCAGCCCCAGCCCCGGCCACCCATCCTACTTCTGAATGCTGCTCCCCGCTCACCCATGGTCCCACCCCATCCACTCAGGCACCCACTGTGTCCGGTGCCCCCAGCAGTGGGTGTGGGGCAGATGGGCCAGGGTGCCCAGGCAGCAGGGCTGGGTCCAGCAGCAATGGTGGAGACTGGCAGTGGCAGCTGGAAGGAGCTGCTGCTGTGGGGGCTACCGGGAACTGAGTCTGGCTGCTGCGCCACCTCAGCCCCTCTGTGCACCTGGGGGCAGCAGAACTGGCCGCATGGGCCATGGCCTGAGCTGGCCTCTGAGCCGGATACAATCCCTTGGTGGGCTGGATCTGGCCCATGAGCCACATTTCCCCACCTCTGACCTACACCATATTATACACATATTTGGACTTCTCACATATGTGTCTGTCTAGTTAACTTGCTAGTACACATCACTTTCAAACCAGTTCTGGTTTCTAGTAGCCATTCATATTGGATGGATAATTGTCCCCTATTCCAGTTGCTATTTTGGAAACAGCATTGAAATATGCACTTGATTTAACCTCAAGAGCTCTTGGGTTGATACAAGAAACACAGGGTAAAATCTTCTGAGATGTTTATCATAATCCCTTGGAATGGCCACTGAGTGGCAGCAGTGCTCTACAGACTTGCACCACAGGTGCTGAAGAACAGCAAATAGCACTGAGTAGCCTTCGGAGACTGTGGGCAGGCACAGGTCTAAGCCCTTCTTTCTCCAAAGGCATCCTGCTAACTAGGGCTCTGGGACTCCAACAGACTCAGGTTTAAAACAAAGGCACAAGTTCATGTCTGGAGGGCTAGGCCTGGACAGTATCATGAAGTTATGTCTGAGTCTCCAAAGTCAGTTTGTGCCCAAATCTTTCTATGTCTCTTATACACCTTTCAATGAGGACTTTCAATGAGGGAGTGGGCCACAGGCCAGAGAAAAAGAGAGAGGGCCAAGAGAGAAAGGAGGGCCTGTGACTTTATTCACTGAATTACAGCACTGAGAGATGGAAAGAGCCTTCTCCCAGTACCAGCACAGAATGGATCCCTATCACTTTGACAGAAAAAGGCCCATGGGTGGGGTTCCCAATCCTCCCCTCAGGAGCCTGTGGCACAGCTGGTCAGAAGTCACCACCCCATGACAAATACCATTCTCTTGCTGTTGCTTGCCCACGCTGACCACATTTGGCTGTTGTGATCTTTTCTCTTACATCAGATCTTTGAGTCCCCCACAATTTGTGGGAGGGAGGTGACCAGAGCTGAATGCAATGCCCAGGGATTAGATACCTAAGATGGGAAGGCCCTTATGCTACAGCATGTCAGGGTTGTATATGGTTTTATTCTGGGGTCTGATTGCATAGTACACCACAGATACCTAAGGCCTGACTTAATAACATACAGAACCTGAATCTATAGTATGATAGAGATGCATACAGTCTGATTCTCTCTGACAACAGGGATCTATAAGGCCTGATCTATAGCTCTCCAGAGATGTATAGGGGCTGATACTCCTCTCTCATAAAGCAAGAGCTCTTGTACTGAAGTCAATAGCTTCACCAGAGTGGTGAAGGGACAGTCAGGCTGCTGTGGAGGCTGTGTGGTGACCTGTTTCTCCCAAAGCCCCAGACCTGTCCTTGCATCACTAAGTAAAGCAGAGTCGCATTTACAGGTCGCTGCTGCCCGACGTCTCTCTCCACAGTGCTGTTCCCTGGTGTGCTCTGTCCTGCTGGTGTAGCTGATTGCTTTTCCCCTGGACATGTTACCCTGTATTATTCCAAGCCAAATCTCATTCTGTTAATTTCCTGTCTCGGCACCTTCCCCTCCCCTCCACTCTTTTGTCTTGTTTCTCCATCCTCAAAGGCACTGGCAGCATCTCCTGTTTCTGTATACCCTGTGAATGTTATTAAAATGCTGTTAACACCTGTGTCCCAGCTGTTCCCTGGTCACAGGGGAATCAGCACTATAACAGTTCATGAGTGGGAGCCCCCAGGCTGCTAAGGAAGCAGCTGTTTATATGGTGTATATAGCACGACCAGGCAAAGCTGGCCCCTCTTACTCGCCTTTACTACCACCCCTTTGCTTTCTTTCTGTCTGGGACCTGGAGACTTGGGACCAAATCCTACTTTACCTATTAGGTGCCCAGGTGTGATCTAGTTCACTGCGCGTGAGTCCCTGAAACACTGCTGACACAAAAGCCAGGTGGGTCCTGCCTCCTCCCAACACTTGGCCTTCACTCCCCTCTCCTGCTTTCCTCTCTTGCTCTTGCCCTCCACCCAGTTTGGCATCCAACCTGATTGCAGTCCCACCTTGGCCACCTTTGTAGCTGGTTCCTTTTACTTACAGATGCTTCCCAGAATCCTTTGCATTGGCTGCAGCACAAAGGATTTTGACCTACTTCTGGATTCTAGAAGCCAGTGGATGTGTGTGTATGTGGGGTCATGTTGGGAGATACCTTGCTCCGAGCTTCTTCTGTTTATGGAGCTTTGCCTTGTTATGATCTTGGTGCTTCATAATAAGGGCCAAATCCTCAGCAGAGATACCCCAACTCCCTGAGAGGCAGTGGAACTATTCCAATTCACAACACCTGAGGATCTGATGATGTTTTACTCCTACCCCTAAACTACAGTGCCAGGGGACAGAGATCTTTAGAATCACAAGCAAGTGAACTGCTTCACTCCTTCATCTTATCTTCTTTTCCTTTTGTAATCTCTCTCCCTCCCACCCAGCCACCCCACCCCTGGCATACCTAAACTTTGCCAAGTTAAAGTCAGCTTTGATGACCTTAACAGGACCAATCTAGCATGTAGTGCTCCATCGTGATGTAAATGGCCCCTTTGCTAAAGATACAGATACCACTGGGCAGCTCCAGGCCCTGCTCCTGGGGCTGACTGTGGGGCATCATTCCCAGCCTTACCACAAAGAAGCCCTAAACTCATTACCTCTGTGTAGTGCTCTGTTCACTCAGTGACTGTTGAGTGGCCTTGAGGTAACTCTGCCTTCGAGCTGCAGTTTTCGGGGATGGTTTGGGACTGGTTTCGGAGTCTTCACTGTCATCATCCCCCATGGCTTTGATGTAGCTTCCACTCCGCATGCGTCGGCATGGGATCTCGTTGTCTTTGTCCTGAGACAGTGTATTGTTCCACTCTCCCTGAGGCACCTGCAAGAACAAGGAAGCACCTTGATGGTCTGTGACTTAGAAAGAAGGAGAGAATCTTGGAAAATGGCTCATGGGAGATGGAAGAACCATAGCATATCAGATCCATCCAGTCCCAGTGTCCTGGGTTAGGTGCTGGCAACAGAGAAGTGAAGAAAACTGCTCATACTAATATATCCCTGGCCTATTGCTCTGCAGGAGCAAAACATTTCCTTCCTGTCCTCCATCACCATGAAGCATAATGTAATTTTATGTGCCAAGATACTATAACCCTACCTTAGCATGTCAAAGCACATCAGTTGGTTATACAGTCGTTCAGCACCTTTGTAACCCAACTACCTGAACATGGAACAGGGAGCCAGGTACTGCTGGGTCTGATCTCAGCTCTTCCAAATGAAAATACACAGGACAGTAAAATCCCTGCGAGATACAGTGTTGCTGGGCTTGGGGTCACTACTAGAGAATACTGAAGTGCCCGTTTGTAAGGGATCATACAACTCACTTAACCAGAAGCTTAATTTCTCCTCTGCAGAAGAGAGAGCTGCATTTACCCAACTTCTAGGGTCACTAGGAGGATTAATTAGTCAGTGTTTGTATAGTGCTTTGGAAATGCAAAGTTCCCTGTGACAGCAAAGTATTGTTCAGCAGAAGAGCTAAGCACAGGCAAGGCTAATTTTTCTGTTGAATTCCTTGACCCCAGAAGCCTGGTCTCAGGAGAAAGATCTCTTCTCTCCCACAATTCTCAGATTGGGAGTCATGGACAGGTGAAGGTTGGTCATGACATCCTGTTCTAGCCTGTATGGCTGAGGAGGTTACTCTCCAGGTGAGGCTCTTTGCGTGGGAGGGTTTATGAGCTGCAGCACCGCTCCTTGGTTAATGTGGTTGGATCACTCCTTGGGGCGGCAGCAGCTAGGTTCCCTGTGCAGCAACTTTTCAGGAAAACTGTCTTTTTGAGGACTGCATTGAAAAAAGAGACCAGCATAGCCCAGGTCCAGGGAGGATTTGTTTGTAAAGCAGGGAGGGCCTCAGAAGTCTTTTGTAGGGCAACAAGCTTTAGGGAAAATTGACCAGAGACAGTGGTCCATCTGGCCTGTATCCTGTGTCCCAGTGCGACCAGGACTGGATGTTCAGAGAAAAGTGCAGATGCTGGCAAACTCCAAAATGGACAGGTGTGGCCCACTCTGCCCTGGGCATTGGCAGATTCTTTCAGAACCTCTAGATGTTTAGAGACTGGCCTGTATTCAGGAGACTTTGCTTCCCTGGAGAGCGCTAGTCTTCCAAACAGGATCCTTATACAGGCCAGTCCCTTTTGTGTCTTTTTAGGCATGGGCAAAATACACTCTCAGACCCTGTGTGACACATGGCACAGGAGGCAAAAGCTGACTTGGACTTGCTGGAAGTGGGTGGCTGGGCTGGAACCTGTGTAGCTCCCATCTTGGTCTATGGGTGCAATCCTGCAACCACAAAATTCAATGGTGAAACTCCCATTAGCTTCTATGGGACTGGGATTCCACTCCGTGATGGGGAGACTGAAGCCTTTCTGGTCTTTTCCCAGTTACAGGCAGAGAGCTGGAGGGAGATGGCACTCTTCATGTTGCACTGTGCCAAGTCTGTGGTAACAAACTTCTGCCATGAAGCAGAGACCTGTGAAGCTCTGACTTGGGGTGGGAAACAAATCTTATGAATAAGCTTTGGTTCTACACTTCTTTGTCTTCCAGGTGCAGCCACAGCACTGGGCTCTGTACTGAATCCCTGCTAGGGAGTAGGCCAAGGCTACCACTTGGGACCTATAGACCTATGACCTCTGTGGGGTGAGATCTGTGTCGCCCATATCATTCCAACCCTTAATCTGTTAGCTCAGTCATGCTTCCCTCTACACTCTCCATCCTGGCTCCCTGGTTTGGCTGGCTGTTTGTGACCCAGGGCAGATTGACCATGACCATCCAGACAGGAAGATTATTGTAGGTGAGGCTATGATGGAATCACTGCTGGCTCTGGATGCACTGCTACCTGTTCCTGGTCCCTGTGGATAGCGCAAAGGCTCTGATGACAGATTACGCTAATAACATCCCTGTTCTCAAATTACCACCAGGGTGATTGGCTTTGACCTTTCCTAACAAAGGAGACATAAGCCTTCTGGAAGCACTTTTCCACTGGGTGCCTCTGAGTCACATCTGACTGGAGAATGGATTTCTCTGCCTGCCTTCTCCTCACCTTACTAATTACTCATCAGGAGCAGTTGCCTGCCTTGCACTGACAATGCTTGCAGGGCCAGCATACAGAACCAAATGCCCACTGCAGGTTGGGTACAGAGGTGTGCAGAACCCAGCTGGGAGAAGTTGAAAGGCCCCCTTCCCTACTTGCCCCTGCCCTGGGTACATGGTATACATGTAAAACAGGTGAATGCAAAGGGGCGTCTCTAGATAATCCTCTGCCCTGGTACCCCAATGCTAGCTCTTGAAGGCAGTGATGGCAATTTATTCAACAAGGGAACCCACCAAGGTCAAAGTCCTGCTATAGTAGGCACATGTGTTAGCTTCATACACATAGCAAGAGACAAAGAGCTTACACTGAGAGTTGCAAAGGCACTGTCCCTGTGTTACAGATGGCAAACTGAAGCTTGGAGGGCTTACAGCTGTTCCAGCATGTGCTGCCAGATAGGCTTGGGCAATAGAAGCCAACACCACCCCCTGGGGGCTGTAGGTCAGCAGGCATTTGGGGCCAATCAAGCTGTCAACTGAGTAATTCCTTTGAACCCTAAGGTCTTGATAGCTCTGCACTAGGAAAGACTTTTGGCAACATGGGCCCCAGCACACCCACATCACGTATTTATTACAACCCGCTACCACACTGACAATCTTCACAGACACTGCTTAGCAACTCTGAAATGCACTGAAGCAGCCCTCTGCTTCCAGATGAGCTGCCTGTCCATTTCTCTGCCTCTCTTCCCCCACACTTTGTGTCCAATAAAAGCAGGAATCTAGTGCAAGAATCAAAGCCTTGCTGAAGTGCTCAACATTCTGGTTTCGGGGCACTGAGGGCAAAAAATGTCTTTTACTGGAAATCAGTTGAATGTGACGCACCAAAAGCAAACAAACCAATTCACTTGTTAATGACTGCAGTAAGCAGGTAGGAAGAGCCTCCCTATCTTCCCACTAAAATCACACATTTGGGGCAAGACTGGAAACCCAGATTTCAAAGGTATTTTGGCACTGAAAGATGCAGATAGCTGTCTAGTGGGATTTACAAAAGCATCTAAGGCCCCTCAGGCCTTTTTGTGAATCCTGCTAGTGCCTCTCTTCATCTTTAGGTGCTTACATACCTTTAAAAACTTGTCCCAGGGTCTCTGAAGTGCTGCTTTCTTGAAACATAGGTGGAGATCTTGAGTTAGCATCTCTGTTCATGTAAACAGAAGCAGCTCCACTGACAGCTGAGAATCTGGCCCCTACGCTGAGTTCACAGTATTAAAACATGATGAAGAAACCTAGTTGCAGTGCATCACACCAGCACAAGGCCATGTTAATTGAGTTTAGGAACCATCTTGTTTTTCCTTTTGCCTATGCTGCTGTAAAACTGCAGCCACTCTAATAAGAGTTATTACCCCCAGATGAAAGTTGTGAAACTGAGTCTGCTCCACGTGCGAGCTGAGGCGAACTGTGCTGCGCTGTGCTGCGCAGGCAGTTGTATAAGCTACGAAATGCGTGTCAGAGCGCAGAAAATGGAGGTGGTGCACTTTTGAACTAAAGCACCTCCAGTGCTTGCATGTGTAAAAATGCCCAAATAGCCTATTATACCAACCCTGCCACCAAGCACTGGATTATGAAAGGGTTTGTTTGCAAAGGTCTTCAGGGCTTACAGGTGTAGGCTTTGTTGGAGTATTGATCATTATAAATATACTGCTTACCTAAAGGCTTTGCTAAAACATTGGTAAAGTAGGACTGACCAGCAAATCTGACTGATGCATGAACCCCTTACATAAGCAGAAGTTGCAATGTGCAAATATGGTCAGGATGATGATACAAGATGTGCAATCTTGTTATGAGATGGGCGGTAGAGATGATTGGGCTAGGCGCAGGATGGTCCAGTGCCTGTGTGGTAAGGCTGGAATAGGAATACCCTGAACAAGGTGCCCACGTTGCAAACATACAGATGGAAATGTAATACATATTTTGTTTTGATCACAGCACAGAAAGAGAATTGGAAAGCAAGGGAACTTTTTAGCAGCCTAGGGGAGCCTGCATGGTGTTCTGCTGACTATCTTGTCACAGGCACAAATGCCTTAATTCCAGGTCTGATGTACTTGTTAGGCCACAACATCTTAGGGCTGTATTTGTAGACAATAAACCTGGCTGAATCTTTGCCACTAAACCAAGCTAGTGGATGTTCTTTAAGACAAGATTGGTATTGGGTCTCCTGGCTGCAACTTTTGCCAGTACCACAGTTCCTGAGACTTTGTCACCGACAACTTCAATAACACCCTATGACAACAGGGTTGGTTGGGAAGCCAGTACAGAAATAATCATCAGAACAATTATACTAATGAGGACAATAATGATGAACAGCTCTAGGATACTTCCCTGCTTACTGTTGGGATATGTCCCTGTTTAGTAGTTGTGGTGCACTGGCTCAATGTCACTCTCAGGGGAGCTCTTACTGAACCACAGAAGATAGAGGGGAAAAAGTATCCAGCCTGTGGCTTGGAGACTAATGCAGAACTGCTTCCTGCAGAGCACATCCTAGTGTTTCATCCCATCTAGTTATAAGCATCCCAAGCAGTGGCACATTTGTATTCTCCTGATGCTGGGGACAGCCTAGCCTCTGACATAAAACAGAGCAGTCTGAAAGGGCACTGCTGGTACTGCCTGCACAGCATCCCAGGGCCCCTTCCAGATCCCATGGGGCCTCTCCATTGTCATAAATAGGTGTTCAGCCGGATTCCAGATGCTTAATTAGCCATCAGGCCAGCAGGTGGAAAATCCTGTTCCTGTTGACAGTAATGACAG